GCTCCACAGTTGTGGTCCTGGGGCCAGGGCAGGAGAGAGGAGCTGTAAATCATCTGGAGTCACAGAAGTGTCACATCCTGCTCGTTCCTGGTGCCAGCCTGTCCCCTCATTAAAGAGCAGCCTCGTCACTCAGCAGCTGCATGGAGGCAACAATTATTTAGGGACAGCAATTCTCCTGAAGAATTTGTCCCTCCTCCTTGAGCTGTGAGATTGCAGGGGATTTGTTGAACACCTGAGCAATGCTTTGGGTTTGGTGGAAGGTGGATTGCTCCAATTTGCCACTTCCTTCCTATTTCTGTTGTGATTCCTGTGCTGGTTTGAGGTGACAGGGAAGGACTCGGGGGGAGCTGTGCCATGTCACTTGTCACTGGAATGTGCTCCCTCACCTTGGCATTTAGGAAATGTTTTGGGTTGCTGTGAGACACCAGCTGCTCACACTGTGACTTCAGTCATTGTCACTCTTATAAAAACATGTGTAGCTGAATGCTCAGTATTTTCCTTTGGGGTAGGGTTTTTAAATGCCAGTTTGCTTGGAAGTCTGTTGATCCAAATAGCTGGAGACATTTCCCTTTCTATGCTGAACTTCTGTAGCTGGAAGAAATAACTATATGACCTTTAGGGAATAAAAGAAAATGTATTTTTCTGCTTTAAATTAGCCAGTTTGAAACCCTGTGCAGGCCTTTGGAAGGTTTGCAGAGCCAGGCTGAGGTTCCAGGTATTGGTGCTTTGGCATCAGGGGGTTGGGAGAGCCATAAGCCACAGACTTTTTGTCTCTGGCTCTCAGCTACTTACTGGAAAATGCACAAATGTTTTTATGGATGGGTGATTTGGTTCAGAGGTGTAATTGAAATTGCTTTTACTGCTCTGCTGGAAGGTCATTTTCTCCACACAGCATGCAGGATCTGTTGGTGAGGCTTGGAGGAGCAGAAGGTTATCAGGAGAGTCACAGAGCCTTTTCTGAGCTGTCCTTCAGTGGTAAAACCAGGTGATTAATGTGCCCTCCTTTCCTGAGGGCCGTGCTGGAAGCTGGGGGATTTCCTCCCCTATCACATCCCTCTTGAAGTTCTGGCTTTGTTCTGGCCACAGCCTCTATTTCATGGTACAGCTCCTGCTCCTTAGACAAGTTTCCATCCTGTGTCTCCACCCGCTTCAACTTCAAACACTTCATAAAGCTTTGGATCATTCTTAGCTTAAATATTTTCTTTTATTCTTGCATTTGTAAAGTAGGTCAGTCTTAAGTGTGACATTTTTTGTATAAAAACAGCTTTTTCCAGGAGTTCTGTGGTTTGATGAGTAACGGATATAAAAATTCAGTGTTTGATCGTGACATTAAAACTATAATTGATTTTGAGTGAACTGCTGTTCTGAATTCTGTAAAGAGAATGAATGATTACTTTGGGCCTTATGCCTTTTAGCCACCTTCCTGGGCAGCCTTATAAAAAGTTATTTTCCCAGAGATAGAACACTGGCTGTCCTCTCCAAGGACAGGGATGTCACTTGTTCTTGATCTTTTAAGGTCCTTCTAACTGAACTGTGATATCACTTAGCAGTGCTTTTGTTGTTAATAAAGGGATATGACAACCATAAACCGGTTTTTCATTGTTTTATAACAAAGTTGTGTCTGTAGGTAAAGCCTGATTGATCTTGATTGAAACGTCCTGGATTGATCGGTGTCCTTAGGCACAGAGCAGTGATTGCTCTGCTCTGAAGCTGTCCTTCGAGAATGGTTTGTCCCTTGGGGTGTTTCTGAGATACCACATTGGGAATTCCTCTTAGTTGTGGCCTCCTGAACATCCCAAAAGCATCTGCTGCTTGTTTGGATGCTGTGGGAGAGGGCAGGTGTAGCCAGGTGGGGGTCGGGTGACAAGAGGAAGTGGCCTCCCAGGTTGTGCCAGGGCAGCTTTAAGTTGGATATTAGGAAAAAAATTTCAGGGAAAGGGTTGTAAAGGATGTCTGGGGCAGTGGTGGTGTCACCACTCCTGAGGTGTTCAGAAAACCTGTGGATGTGGGTCAGTGCTGAACGTGCTGGTGCTGGGCTGAGAGTTGGACTGGATGACCTTAAAGGGCTTTTCCAGCCTCAAGGACTCTGTGACTGCAGCTTGCAGAGAGAGCAGATTGTCTTCTCCAGCCATGGCTGTGCAGGAGGATCAGGGACATCCAGAGGAGGCCACCAAGGAAAGAGGTGTTGGATGCAGGAGCTTTAGTGCTCTGCTGCTCTGGCTCTGGGCCTTGCTCACCCATTTCCTTAGAAGAGAAGATCCCAGTTTGTGCCTTCCTGGAGCCTTTTCCAAACTGCTTCCTCTCCTGCTTGGATTTTACTGTGTGCTGCATTTCAGTCCATGGTGAAGGGGTTTTTTGGAGGAAGCCCAGCCCTCCTGCAGCAAATCCAAGTCCATGAATGTAAGTTTAAATTCCTCCCAATCTGTCATCCCATTTTCTATTATGGAGCAATTAGCCTGTGGCACCTCTTTACTTTTCTTAAAAAAAAACCCAACAGAAATGTTCCCCTCTCCAGCTGTGACTTTCCTGGGTTCAGAAATCCCACTTTAGTGCTGTGTGAAGGTGAAATCCAGTGTAGTGATCAGTGCTATATATTTTCTCCCCATGAAGGAGGAGGGGATTTTGGAGCACAGTTCTCTAGTGCTGGAGCACAGAGGAGCCTTTGGATAATGTAAATCCTGGCGTGCCTTGGATTCAGTCACTGGCATTGTTGTTCCAATCTCCAGATCCTGGGCCTGGCTATGGCAAAGCAGCTTTATTGAAATAGCATGTTGGTATTTAAAACAATATTAATCCTAGATTTGATTCATTAGATCTGCAAAGGCAGTTCAAGCGTTTCCATGTGTGCACTGTTGGTTCTGGCGGGAGGTTCTTCACATGGTTTTATGTGGTTTCAGACAACATTTTAGCACATTCTTAAAATACCCACAAAAGCCTTTATGTAAAATCTCATAAAGGTGAACCACATAAAAATGATTTTTTTCCTGTTTCATGTCATTAGGATCAAAGTACAGTAGGTAAGAATAAATTTCCCAAAACCTTGTTTCAGTCCTTCTCTTAATTAATGTTTCATGCTCGTAGCAAGGTCGTAAAGTGGGTAATGGGGAAACTGTCTGTGCAAACTGTAACGTTCTCAGTGACTGCCAGCTCATTTTGAGTGAACTCACTGATTCTGTATATGAAAATGAATATATTATATATTTTTTTAAAGCAGTCTGAGAAGGGACAATAACTGCTTCTCTCTGGCCTTTGATTCCCACTGCTGAAGGAAGGGTCACTTAGGTTGGAGCTGAGGTTCACTGCAGGACTGGAATTCCCATTAACTGCATTAACCAAAATCCATTTGTGAATTCCCCAGGGGATATGAGAAGGGTTTTTGTTGGTTTTTTTCAGGCTGCAGTTGCCTGCTGGCAGCCTGGCTTTAGCGTGGCTGGGCTTTGCTTTATGAGTGCAGAGCTATCAGTGGTTGGTAAGGACAGGACAGTGGGTCCTGAACTGCCCGGGCTGGGCTTGGTGAGGAGAGGCAGAGCCACCCATGAAACATGAAAGGCTGTGGAGAGTTAACAGGAAATTGTTTATCCCTCCTGAGGTCAGCACTGGTTTGGGTAAAGGCTTGGGTGTCTGCAGGTAAATGGAATTGGGGCTCTTTGGTGACTGCTGGAATTTTGGAAGTGTCACTGCCATTCACTGCCCAGTGTCTTCTCCTGACTGTTGGCAAGGGTGGGGTTACTGTGCTTTAATTCACGGTGCTTCCAGGTAACCCATGGACTCCAGATTGCTGTAAATTGCCTTTTAGCACCATTCACAGCTGGAAGGCTGTGATTAGAAAGGAGGGGAGCACAGAGGTGGGAAGGTTTGCTAACTTTGTCATGTTGGCCAGGAGGGAGGATTTCCTCTCTTGCAGAAGAGGAAGGAGGGGTCACTCCAGGTGTGTGTGACAGAGCAGGTTCATCTGCCTGGCAGTCCTGGCAGCTCCTCGAGTGATTCTGCCCTCCTGCAGGCTATGAAAAGTCTGACTGCCAACATTTCGTGTGGTTGATGAAGTTTCCTCTCCTCCTTTCACATGATCCTTGTGTGCCATGGTCACCCCTGAGGTGTGAGAGCTGTGTGCCATGAACCAGTATTGATTATTCCCTTTTCCTCATCCTCCTCATGGCTTTGCTAACTTGAGAATGGAAGGGGTAAAATGCTGTGGGTTGCAATTCCAGTTTTCTAGAAGACAAAATTACTCCTCGTGCATCTTTCTACCAACAGTGTTGGGTTGTTTACCATTATTTTGTAAAAAATACATTTCCCATCTGCACCAGTGTCATCCAGAGGGAGTGGGGCTCTACAGATCCCATTGCTTCGTTGGTTTTCTGAGTTTGCTTTCAGCAAAAGACACCTGAGATTGAGGCAGTCTGGTGTATTTTCTCTTGTTTTCCATATCTGATGCTGGAATAATAAAACCTCAACAGCATCTCTGTATTTCTGAGATCTCGGTTTCAGTTCAGCTCCCTTTGCAGTAAATCAATGTCAGCTTCACACAAACTTTTGAGGCAGCAACAGAAAGTTACTTGCTCCCTTTTGTCTTAATTAGTGAACTTTGCTGTAAAGAACTTCCAGACTTTGCCAGTAGTGAGGGAAAAGAGGGGAAAAAAAGACCAAATTGTAACATAAAGCCTTACTCTCAGCCCACTTTGTGGCTCATGCTTTTACCAGCTGTTGTAGGTAATTGGAATCAGAGGAATTGTTTGCTCAAGTCCTGTAGAAATTTGTAAACAGCTCTGATTCTCACCAGACCTTTATTCTCCTTCAGAGAAATGTGCAGTTGTTTTGTAATTAAAGTCTCTGCATTATGAAGTGATCTGAGCTGCTGTTTCTGGGTGTGTAACTGTGAAAGAAAAAATAATCTGTATTAGGACTTAGAAATTCTGCTTATTTAAGATTATTATTATTGATATCTGACTCTGGCTTGGGTCCTGCTTGCTTTTAACTTGCCTTTGGGTTGCATCCTGCAGGTATTTTGAAGGTGGAGTCTCCTCTGTCTACCTCTGGGATCTGGATCATGGCTTTGCCGGGGTGATCCTCATTAAGAAAGCTGGAGATGGATCAAAGAAGATTAAGGGATGCTGGGATTCCATCCACGTGGTGGAGGTTCAGGTACAGCCTCTGGGGCAGCTGATACACCCCAGTGAAAACAAAACCTGGTTAATTCCAGACAATTAAGGAGCACAGGTGTTCCACTGAACAATGCAATATTGTGTCAGGGCTGTAAACTTCTTTCCCTTGTTAATTTTTGAAAATGCCCCGAAGCAATTTGGATGGAGATAAGTCAGGGCTGTAATCAAAAAGAATCCCAGAAGAATTGAAAGTATGTTACTTTCTGTGCATGTGAGCCTGAGATGTGGGGGTTTTTTAGCAAAAAGAGCTACAGATAAATATCACTAATTAGGTAATAAAAACAAGGTAATAGGGGGGTAAATTGCTCGAACTAGATTTGCTTTGGAAAATTAGAGGAATGTGCACACTTGGGATTGTCTTTAGGAGACTGTGCTGCATGAGTGGGGTCAGACTTACCTGGCCTGTTGCTGTGGGCTCTGCCAGGCCAGCCCCCATTTGTGTCCAGGAGGGATTTTAACCTTCTGTCTGTGTCCCTTTTTGTCCCCTTGCCCTTGCAGGAGAAGTCCAGTGGCCGCACTGCCCATTACAAGCTGACCTCCACAGTGATGCTGTGGCTGCAGACCAACAAAACTGGCTCTGGTACCATGAACCTGGGGGGGAGCCTCACCAGACAGGTATGGCTGAGCCCTGCAGGGCTGCCCCTGCCTCCCTCCACAGCCCCAGTCAGGCACAGCACGTTGCTTTTGTGAGGTGTTGTATAAACATCTCTTCTCCTGCTGTTCTGCAGCCCAGGGAAATGCTGAAAGCAGTGTGTAATTACCAGAAAGCTCCTTGAACTGTGCTTGACACACTGGAGCTTGCAATTAAAAATACAAAACATTCAGCAGGAGTTTAGACTTTGCTTGTAAGTCTCAGTTTGTCTTTTGGTATTCCTGAATTTTTATTTTTCCATGTGTGTTGCAGATATTTTTATCTGTAAGATTTGCCCACTTTCTCACTGGAAGATTCCAGTAGGATTATAAAAATACAGGATGACTTCTTTCCTTGCATCTCTTTTAAAAGCCAGCTAAACCACTGAGAACAAACCTGTATTTTGCACTGACAGTAAGATTTTTTTTTAAGGACATCAATTACATAGTATCTTCCTTTAGTGTTTTTTTCCTGCAGTCATTTCCAGCAATCAAGACACTGATTTTAAAAAATCTCCTGGAAAGATAAGATAAATCTGTCCTAACATCGGGGTTTTGTGCCAGCATGAATGTTTTTTGGCTGGTGTTCATCAGGAAGGTGCCAGGCTGGGGGATCTCAGCAGGGCTGGTCCCTGGCAGGCAGGATGTGCCCACTGCCCTTCCCTGGCCGAGGCTGCCTCTGGCCAAAGGCTTCTGCTCCCTGCTGAGGAGGGACTGGGCTTGCTGTGGGCTCTGCAAGTCAGTGACTGGAGCAAAGTAATCAGCTCTGGAGGACAGGAGGCACATTGTAAGGTCATGAGTGACTGGAGAGATTGGCAGCAGCTGAAACTCCTTTATGAGCCTTCCCAGGGCAGACTGGGCCTTTCCTTACAAAGGACAATGCAGACTCTGTTAAAAACCTCATGGTTTTGTCCAGGTTTGAGCCAGGTGAAGGCAAGGAGGGTCTGGGATTGCAGAGAGGGACTGAAACTGGGTTAGGCTTGCACAGCTTTCCCCAGCCTGGGTGATTTTTCTTTCCATGTTGTTGACATTGAAGAAGCTGATGGAAAAGCAAGTGAAGGAAAAAGGCATCTGGAGACAGTTTTGAGCCTTTTTTTGACTCTAATTACACCCGAGTTATGGTGACCCGGACAAATATTTAATCACAGGCCTTGCTAATCCTGTAAATCAGAGCTGTGAAGTGCAGGCCAAGGGCTTGACTCTGGCCATGGCCTCTGGAGCACGAGCTGTGCCAAGGAAAACAAGGGCTGTGGAGAATGGGTGTCCTCAGTACACCTTGGCCTGAGCTGCTGGGCCTTGTTTGGTTTGACTTTGCCTCTCAAAGCTTCAGTGGGGAGATTCATGCTTCTGTCATCATTTCAGCAGCAGAACATTGGATTCAGATGTGGTGCATGAAGCCAGGGCCTGGCTCCAGTGTCAGGAACAGCAGCACTGGGGTGAGGATGCACAGCCCCTGCAGGAGCAGGGGAACCTGGGGGCACATCCCAGCCTGGGGCTTGCTGCCTGGGGATGGCACAGAATCCTGCACAAAACTGCAGTGTCCACAGTGCCTCAAGGTGTTCTCTTGTCCCCAGCTGGAAATTGAAACTCCTGAGTGCAAGGCTTGGACTTTGCTCTAAGTCCAGTTTGCCACATCACCCAAGCTCTGCAAGTTTTACTTCTCCTTTTTTGATCAGCCCATTTTGCAGCCTGCAGCAAACAGAGCCACCAAGAGCTGGTTTTAGTTGTCTCTTGAATAGCATGTTACAGTTTCCCCTTGACAGGTATCAGTAATGTTTTGTAAAAACTTTGTACATGGTCAGTTTACACGGTTTTGGTCAACTCAGCATTTAAGCTACTTGACCACCTTTGATGCTAAAATGAGAGTAGCAGATGTCCTTGTGTTTGAGAGGAAGCTTTTGAAGTGTTCACAAGCTTGGTCATACCCTGGCTCACAACCTGATGGCAGAGCAGCCTCTCAGGGCTTGGAAGGGGAAGTCTGGTGAGAGCCATTCCTCCAAAACCAGTTTGGCCCCGTAGCTGCAAATGGGCTGTTCTGTGAGTGCTGATGGAGTGATGAGCTGGTGGCCAGGAACAGGCCAGAGGAGCAGCTCAGGGAGTGCCACGTGGTGGAGCTGAGCTTGGAGCTGCACTGAGGCTCTAGAAATAGCTGCTGTCTGCAGTCACTTCCTGAGGGGAGAGATTGCTCTGCCCCCCACACAAACCAGGGGCTTTTGTCAAGACCATTTGGAAAAACTCAGCCTTTCATGAACATCCCCAGGCTGGTTCCTGCAAGGTTCGTGCTTGGGCTGTTCCTAAATATGAGCTGAGTTTTTGAGGAGGAATTTTTCCCTCTCTCTTCAAGACTCTCTGTTTGTTGCTGTGGCTTCTCCATCCCTGGAGGTGTCCAAGGCCAGGCTGGGTGGGCTTTGGAGCAGCCTGGGACAGTGGAAGGTGTCCCTGCCCATGGCAGGGGGTGGCACTGGATGGGCTTTGATCCTTCCAACCCAAACCATTCAGGATTGTGGATTCTCCTGCAGTGTTCCTACAGCTGCCTTGGGCCAGGTGCTCGTCCCTCCTGGGTAGATGCTGCTCAGAGGTCACAGCCCTGGCCTGTGTCTGTTTTATTTCATATACTGGGAGCTGACATCTCTCTTCCAGGGCCTTGAACTACTTTTCCTTGATTTCCCAGTGCAGTTTTTCATCTGCTGCAATATAAGTTGTCTCTGTTTCTAGGAAGAAACAAACGTTTTACATTTGTGAGTGGACAGAATAAGGAAGGGGGGAGACAGAGAATTCAGCCTGTTTGGGAAAACACCCCTTGGTGTAGCTTTAGTTTACTTTACCTGATGGGTTTTGGAATTTCAGGCTTTTGCTTTATCAGTTCAGTTACAGAATTTCAGATTCTATACTGATCTAGTAGAGGAATGAGTGTTTGTACACACACAGGAGTGTGCAACACAAACCCCTGTGTGTTGTCATATCTACTTTATATAATTGATCTGTCTGCATACCTGCTTTGTGTATCCACTTGTATTAACTTACCTTGAGAGGGTGAGATCAGTTCTTAGCCAGCTCCAGGCACACAGGATCCATGGATGTAATTCTGGCCTGAAACTTAGGGAGAGTTCAAGCTGAAGTGACATCTTCACCCTGGAACTCCATTAGGTGCTGCCTGCAGCAGTGCCCCTGTGTGGCAGTGACTCTCCTTTGCCCAGGGGGGCTTTGGCTGGAATTTTTAGGAATAAACATTGTTCTACATAAATACTGCCCGAGGGGAGCAGAACTTACAGGGAAATGAAACGTGCCAGCAGCTTTTCAATTACCTTGCACGTTCTCTGGGGACTGCAGGTACCTCCCAGCCCTCCTGATTGAAGCCAGATGTTTGGCAGATGATTTTCCCTGGCAGCTTTTGGGGTCCTGTCCCCTTTGTGTACATTGGAATCACTTGTGTCGCTCCGAGTGGCTTTGGCTGCGTTTTGAGGTTTCATTAGGCTGCACTTTTATTGAAGGTAAGAGCAGCTGTGTGATCCTGTTTCACTTGGTGCAGAGGAGATGTAAAGGCCCTTTCCTGGCACACAGTCAGCACTGCACTTTGCTGGATGGGCTCTGCAGCCCCTCCTTGCAGGCAGGACCAACAGGTGCCTTCCTGAGATGTCCTTGTGCACAAAGAACCTGTGTGTGTGCTTGATGAGCCTGAGGAAGTGAGTTTGCTGAGGAAGAAGTTGGCTCCAAACCTATAGTTTATTTACATTTGGAGATGTGGGGAGGATGTAAAGTCACAGGGAAGTGAGGCCTGAGATTTGGGATTCAAGTAGCACAGACGTTGATTTTTGAACTTGGAGCACATTCTAGGGAGGACAGAAGGTTTTGCAGAGCTGGATGAAGGCTGGACTGTGCAAACAGAGCAGAAAGAGCTGCCCTGGGATCTTCTGCTGCTCAGTGAAACCCCAGCAGAGCCATTCTGCCATTTATCATCACAGGGAATCCCTGTGCTCAGCAATTAGGGGACTCATCCATTTCCATCAAGGGCAGCTTTCATGGAAGGGCCCATCCTACCGACTTCCAGATGTTGTAACTTTGTTTTTCCACCAGTGGGATCTTCTTGTGATCCTGGAGCTCCCCCCCAGCAGTTACTGGAGTCTCTGTAATCACCAGCTAAGCAGTGTTTGGGTGCAGGGGACAGCAGGGATGTGCTGACAGGGGTTGTCCAGGGAATTATTTCTGCCTCACCTCTCCATCATGAGGGTGGGGAGGCTGTGGCACCTCTCAGGCTGCCCGGAGCAGCTGTGGCTGCCCCTGGAACCCTGTCCCAGTCCAGGTTGGACAGGGCTTGGAGCAGCCTGGGATAGTGGAAGGTGTCCCTGCCCAAGGCAGGGGTGGGATGGGCTGGGCTGTATGTATAACCCTGTATGGGTTTCACAGAGGCTCAGTTCTGTCATAGTTGAGAAAAGGGGACGAGAGGAGGTGAGGCAGGTAAAGGTCTGTAGCATCCCCAGGCTTGCCCATGGTTTTGGCTGGGCAGTTTGGCAAAGGAAATGGGATGTGTTTGGTTACAGTGGTGAGAGCAGATCTGTGGAGGGATGGGCTCAGTTCTCAGCTGATTCCTACAACGCTGCAAGCCCTGCAGAGATCACAGCCTCCATTTATTGGTTATAGTTTGAAATAAGGGCTGGAGAGGCAGGCCAAATTTTGCCTTACTGATATCCAAATAATTCCACATATTTTCCACCTGGAGCCTTCAGCCTGCCCACTGCCTGTGGCTTTGGGAGCCCTTGGCACACTTTGCTGTTTGTGTTTCATTAAAGGGATTTTCACTTTGCTCCGTGGCCAGAGCAGCTGTGGGTGTTGTTGGCTTTTCAGAGCAAAATGGAGGATGAGTTCCCTTCTACCTTTGCTGGTATTTTCAGACACTTCTGTGATGAAACGAAGTGTTTATCCTGCTTAAATGTCCCTCTTCATATTATTCCTCCAAATAATGTTTACAGAGAGCCCAGACAGCTGCTTTATTCTGTGCAGGAAACATCCAAAGTGACCAGGCAGCCCTCGAGATGTCCCAGAGGAGTTTCCCTGTGAGTCAGACTCAGAGCAGATGGCTGGGGGAGCCAGGCCCTGGATCTGCTGCAGGAGAGCTGGGACTGGGCTGAGACTGGGACTGGGCTGGGACTGGGCTGGACTAGGCTGAGACTGGGCTGGACTGGGCTGAGACTGGGCTCACCCTGGGGTTTGGCTGAGCCCAGCAGGCAGTGGGCAGTGACATGGGCAGATGAGCAGCTCCTTAACATCAGCCTGTAGAGGGAATTTCCCCTCAAAGCAAATCTCCCCCTGTATTTAAGCAGCAAAAGTCCTGCTGCTCGAGCCTGTGCAGTGCCAGCCACCGGAAGGAACCTTTAAAAACCCCAACAACTCAACAAAACCCAACTGTTTGTAGGACATGGCTGATCCTGACTCTGCACTCCATTAAACAGCCTCTTGTAACATCTGGCCTTCCAGAGCACATAAAAATGTTTTCCTTCTGGCAGCAGTTTTTATGGAGATGTAATAATATACATTTTTTTAAAAAAAAAAGATTTCTATTTTCAGATTCTGCTTCTTAACCATGGAGCTGGGCCTGTCCAGGTGTGGAGGAGGCACAGCAGGGAGCCTGTGGCAGTGACTGCCCCACTGCCAGCCCCCAGCTGCCCCAGATTTGGGCAGTTTGGTGACAGTTCCCAACTCCCCATAGTGTGTGGATGTGTTTGTGGAGTTCAGGTTTGCATTGTCCCTGCAGTGCAGCTGGATCCCTTCTCCAGGCAGCCTCTCCATTCCTTGTAAACAGTCTAAAGGCAAAATGAAATGTCCTGCTGCTCTTTCTCCCCCTCTTCCAGGTTATCTTTTGCCTTGGGGCTCCAAGTAAATTACATGCTTCCCCAAGCCTGTTACAGACTTGGCTTATTAGAAGAAACCTGTAGCTGGCCCAGATTTTTAAACTCTGCCCTGAGGGAGGGATAGGAACAGATGGATAAGAGAATTCAGTGGGATTAGTAAAACCCTTTGAAGACTGTTCTTCCCACTACATTTGTCTCCCAGTTTTGTTTTCGTGCTGTCTCAGCAAATCTTGCTGAGGTTCCTGGGTCTGATGTTCACTGTTCAGCAGCTTGGCTGTGTCGTGGCCACAGTTTTCACCTCAGGAACTCTGGAGAAGATGGACTTTGCCTTAGCACAGACCATGGAAGGCCATGGGATGGATGTTCCATGAAGCACAGTCAGATGAAATGAAGCAAATGTTGCAGCTGCAGTTGCAGCTCCCAGTTTTGATGTTGGAGTAAAAGATCTCAGGTGGTTCAGGGCCCTGTGTCCTGTGCAGGTCCTGCACTGAGGGCGTTGGTGTCACTCTACTCTGGAGTTGTTCCAGCTCTGGATTTCTCCTGCAGAGGACACTTGGCTGTTCCTCAGTGGGGAGAGAGTGGCTGTTGGGTTGTGGGGTCTGTCTGCACAGGGATTATTTTTATTCCTGGGTTTTATTCCACCACATCTTTGTTACCAAGAACTGGGAGTTTCTCAGCACGTTCTGCACAGTTCTGCAGTGTTTGCACACGGGGGGAGTTGGTGAGACCCACTTGTCCCAGCCCTCCTGGACCCTGTGCCCAGATGCCTGTGATGGATGGGTCTGTGCTTTCCTTTGCAGATGGAGAAGGATGAGACTGTGAGTGACTCCTCTCCACACATAGCCAATATCGGCCGCTTGGTAGAGGTGAGTGCAGGTTCTTTTCCCAAATTTGCTCCCATACCTCAGAATTTTGTTGCGTTTTTCTTTACAAAGAATTCACTCATTGCTGTTGTTGCTCCTGTTGGTGTGTGGTGGCTCAGTGCTCCTCCTCCCATCCCTTCCAGCTGTTTGTGGGTACAAAGCCACCCCTCTGCCCTTTGTCTCCTGCTCAGCACTGCAGTGACTTCCTGGAAAATGAGAGTTCTATTCCTGAGCACTAATTCACAACTTCCTACCCCCATTTTGCTTTTGCAGCCACTCCACAGCACTGTCCCTTGAACTGAAAGTTCAGTGTGTATCAAGTGCTTATGAAACCCCTGGAGCTGGGTTTAGTGTTGGATTTTTAGCAGCTCTCAGTCCTGGAAGCTCAGCAGGAGGAGTGCAGCTGCTCAGAAGGTGCAGCACCACTTTCCTGTTTCACTGCACTGTCCTGATTGAAGATGTTCCAGATTTCCTTGATTGTTATAGCCAAGAAAGGAGGAAATTCTCAACTATGATGCATTTTTAGGGAACCGGGAAATTAAAGGCAGCTACTTCTTTTTTGATCCCTTTTTAAAGTTTTTTGCTCGAGTGAAAACAATACAATGAAAAAAAGAAAGCTGCTTTGTTACAAGATCTCTCTCAGCTTTAAAGAAAAGTCAAAAATTGAAAGTCATCCCTGAGCACAGAACTCTGGACTCTTGGTTATCTTGAAGGACTGACTTGGCACTTGGAGCCCATCCAGTGCCCAGAAGCTGCACGGGAAGGTTGGGTGCTGAATTTTCCTTCTCTCAGAACTGGAGAGCTGGGGAGGAGCTGCCCTCTCGTGGTGCAGAGAGCTCCCCTAGGCTGGAGAGATGGGCTGGGAGGGGAGAGCAGGAGCAAAGCCCTGAGAGCTGGGTGGGAGCAGAGGCTGAGTCCCCGTGGCTTTGGTGGGATCTGAGTGCTGGGAATGCTCCAGGAGTTGTTGTCAGAGGGACCCTGGTGCTGCACCCTCCCTGCAAACAGCTGAGGTGACTGAAGAGCTGCTGTGTTCCTTCCTTTTCCAGGACATGGAAAACAAAATCAGAAGTACACTGAATGAGATTTATTTTGGAAAAACAAAGGACATCGTTAATGGGCTGAGGTAAGGGAGCTGCAGTGGGTGGGGACCCTTTGTGTCCCTGCGGTGCCACCCCAGTCTTGAGCTGCTTTTTCTTCCCCTCCCTGTGCTTTGGGACAGTATTTGTTGTGTGGAGTTCAGGGAACTCTTCTACTGCAGAAATCTGAAGCAATGTTTTAATCCCTTGTTCCCTCACCAGGCACAAAACAGCCCAACTAACACTTGCTTTTGGCTTAGTTTTCATTAGTTTTATTCTTCACAGTCCTGCAAGCTGTACTTCAATTCTGTCTTCTCTTTCTACTATCCTTAAAAATAGTCCCAGAATTAAGTCATGACATGAGTGGTTTGTAGTGTTTGGACTTGGTTTTAAATTCTGTCTTTCTCTCAACACCACTAGTCAAAATACAATGTATGAGAAGAGATTAAATTCCCTGTGCCTTTCTGTAGGGAAACTGTGCTGTACTTTTCATCCCCTGCTCATTCCTGGACAGGAATTGGGCATGGAAATCCCACGCTGGGAATTCTCATGCTCACAGAGGAAAGTACAGAACTGTGATGCCAAATCATTTTAAAGTACAGAGAGACCTCCCAGCACAGTGTGGTAATGTAAAATAACCAAAGGGCAAAAAGAAATGCTCTGCTTTTCCCTGAGATGTGGAAAAAGAGAGAAGAATGGTGTTAATTAAATACTGATGCTGCTGTGTAGGCAGAGGGAGCAACAGGAACTCAGTGGTTCTGGGTTCTGCCCCAAGCCCAGCTCAGAACAGCCTCAGTTTCCTTTGTGCTGAGCAGGGTTTAGTCAGGAAGCTTTTATTGACATCAGAATCTGTAAGAGAGTCTTTGTCTTGTGAACATTGCCTTGAGCTGTTGTGGTCGAATCTCTGCTGTGTCTCCCTTCCCTCAGTCTGAGTCCTGGCCCTGTGTGCAGCTCCTGTTGGGAACATCCAGAGCACCTGGTTCCTGCAGCCCTTCCCTGCTCCTCCTCACCTGTGTGTCCCCTTCTCCTCCCTGGTGGTTCCCAGAGCCCCAGTTCTGTGTTACCCACTTCTTCTGACTCTTCTTTTCCCTGTTTGCTCCCTGGTTTCCCACTGCTCTCTGTAGATCTATCGATGCTATTCCTGACAACCAAAAGTATAAGCAGTTGCAGAGGGAACTTTCTCAAGTGTTGACCCAGCGCCAGATCTACATCCAGCCTGATAACTAAACCAATCCAGGTACCCTCGCTGCCTGTGAGGTGTGAGCAGCACTAAACCAGGACTCACCAGCCCAGCCCTGCATGGAACCGGGAAGAACTAACCCCTAATCCTGCAGGGACAGCCCAGGCACCCCGGGGTCTGGCTCAGTGCAGCCACTCAGTGCTGTGGCTCTTGTTTGAAATGTTGTTACCTCCTCCCCCATGGAAACCTCACACTGGGAACTGGGGCAGGATTTACCACTCTGCACTCTGGCTTGGGAGCAGGAAAGGAGCACGTGGTCCTGTGCCTGGAGTGCTGTGGGATTGGGCTGATCCAATCCAGGAGCCCCAGGACTCTGTCCCTTGGGCACCAGCAGTTTGTTACACCTGTGGTACACCACTTCCAGGAAGAAATTCCCTGTAATCCCAGTGTCCTCCCTGCAGAATGAAATCTTGGGAGTCTCACAGTTCGAAAAAAAAAAAAAAAAAGCCTGGTACTTCCCATGAATTCAGAGTAAATGTGCTCTTGCCCACACGGTGGATTTTGAATTTCCCTGGAGCTTGAAAGGCAGTCCTGCTCAGACACTGCCAGCCTCCACTTGCTTGTGCTCTGCACAGCCTCCAGAGGGATTTGTTGCTGTGCTCGTTTGCTCTGGAGCTCTGAGTGTCAGGGTGCACGGCAGTGACTAACCCCGAGCCAGCCTAACCTTCCACTCCAGTTCCTAACGAGTTCCAGATGTTGTTTCAAACTCATCCAGCTGACCAAGGGGAAACTCGCTGTTTGTTGATAGTGGCCAAGAACCACTTCTTCAACCTATGACAAATGCAAATATAAATGTATATGTTTTTGTTAAAGCAGCAAAAGTCTCCAGAGACAAGAGAATGGAAATACTGTTATAAAAATGGTAGGAAAATCACCACCACAAAGAGCAGCCTTGTTTACAGGAGACAGCAACCAGAGAAAATGAGGTTGCTCTGAATCACAGAATCCCAGACTGGTATGGGTTGGAAGGGCCCTTAAAGCTCATCCAACTCCAACCCCCTGCCACGGGCAGGGAAATCTTCCACTCTCCCAGGTGCTGTAAAGGCTGTGAAATGTGGTTTAGGTGGGGAAAAATCCTGCCCAATTGGATCCTGCCACTTCTCTGTGGTAGCCACTCTGGAAAAGTTTGGTTCTGGATAGAACCCATTCTATCAATTTATTTAAGAGGGGCCTTTTTAAAAGTGGAAATGTCTTACTGTCTCCTTTAAATCAGAGGTTCCTCCACAGGCCTCTCCCAGGGCACTGATCCCAGGTGATTCCTGAAGGGTGGAGCTTTTCCTCTGTACTTTCAGGCAAAGGGAAGCCCTGCAATAACCTTGTGACAGTATCTCTGTTCTTCTTCAGCTGCTTTGATCACTCATTCCTTAGGGAAGGTACAAAAAAAGGCAAATTTGTGAGCAGATCCTCTGGCTGCTTTTCCCAGTGGTGCAAAGGCTCCAGGTGAACAGTCCTGCAGAATGGCCAGAGCTGCCCAGCCCGGCCCTTCTCCGGGTGGGGCTGGATTTTCTCTGCACTTTGCGGGGGAGCAGGGGCTCTAACCCCCTTGGCTGTGGGACGCTGGGGCTTCTTCTAGGCTGGAACAAAACGTTGGGAATCTCCCTCTGGCAGCCCGGGGCTGGGCAGAGCTGCTGGGGAAGCCTTTGGTGTCAATCCTTGCCAGAGTGAGTTTTGCTTTGTGTTCTCACTGAGTGGTCACTCCACCTTCTGCTCCCCGGGTCCCGCAGGCAGAGCTGAGCCTGGGCTCCGGGGCTTCTCCTTCCTCCTGACTCCCAGGACTGCTCCCAGCCCTTCCCCCTGCTCTGCCTCTCACTCGCCTCTCCTTCTTCCCCACAGGTCTGTGCAGACTTTTGCAGACAAATCAAAACAAGAAGCTCTTAAAAACGACCTGGTGGAGGCTTTGAAGAGAAAGCAGCAAAGTTAAAGTTCTGTCTGTGCTAACCAGCCATGCCATGCACTCGTTAGATTCCTTTCCTAGAGAATCATCCCCCGCCCTTTTCTGTTGGTCACGTCACGATTTGCATCCAATATTCTCCATGCAAAGCCATCCTCTCCCCATGAATAAAGCTGTACAAACTTTTTCAGTCTCTGAGGCCTACTTTGCACCACATTTTACTATCAAGAGTTAGGCTATGTTTCTGTAGAAGTCCATGTATTATTTTTTTCTTCCCCCCCCCTTTCCCACCCTCCCCCATTTATATGCATCACCACAGATCATTGTTTGTCTTTTCCTCCCTCACCCCCTCCTGCCTTTTGTTACATTGGTGTAAAAAATGTAAAACAAAAATTTATTAAATACTGTGGTGTGTGAAAGAGGAAGAACTGGAAAAACAAAAAAAAAAAAAAAAAGAAAAAAAAAGAAAAATAATCTATTCCACGTATGTTTGGGGGCTGGGCACAGGGGCTGGCTGGAGGGAGGGAGTGAAGAGAGGGTGTTCCTTGGGCTTGTACAATACTGAGTAACCCAGATGTGCAGGAGATGGTGATTTGGAGACCTGCTGAAAGTTCTGCTCTTCTATAGCCTGGTTCCAAGGCGCTTTTCTGTCAATTTTTATGGAATGCAAAAGGGGTTTTTGTTTTGATTTTTTGTTTTTTTTGTAAAGCTTAAAATGAATCTACATCTGATACTTGAGCCTCCATACTAAAAAATTGGAAAAAAAAAAAGGAAAAAAAAAACTAAAACAATAAAAACAAAAAAAATCCCAGGAAGAAGTGTGGTGTGATTGTGTCCTTGTTTCTCTTTCCTTCCTTGCAGGGTTACTTGGGGTTTGTTTTTATGTCCCACACCCAGAAATGTTTGTCTGGAAGGGGATGTGATGTCCCACTGCTCTTTGGCCCTGCATTACTCACCCTGCTGCCCTTTCAAGGTGCTGGGATACACATACATATATATACACACATATGCACATATATATATATATGTACATTTGTATATGTGCACTTTCCTCCATATGGCAGAGGTTCTTTGTCCAGTTTAGGAAAAGTCAGTATGTCACAACTACTTAGTGTTGTGAGTGGCAAAAGAGGAGGGATTTGCTCATGGTTTGGATCAAAACTGGATATGAATTGTTCTGCAATTCCCAAAGACAGGAAAGGAAATGCTGCTGGCCTCAGGAGGAGGTGAGCAGCCCCTTTGCCTGTGAATCCAGAGGGGCAGAATTGTTAATTCATTCAGTAAAGAAACACTCACTTGATTCAAGGGGCTCAGAGAGACTGAAAAATAGATTTCCTTTCTGAAAACAGCTGGGTCAGACCCAAATACTGGCCCAGCTTGTGTTTCAGTGGACCTGCTGCTGCAGCTTGGTGGGCACTGAGCAGTTTAATGTGGGATCCAGGCTGAGCTGTGGAACCCTGGATTGATGTCCTCAGTGTGAGGACAAAGCAGAGTAACTTCCTTGGGAAGGACAAATGTCATGGACTGGCTGAGGAATCACAGATGAGTGATAATGGAGCTAAAGCCAAAAGGGTCACGATGCTGGGTATCAGGAAGGGAGCTGGAGTGGGGAAAGGGAAGCAAAAGGAAGAGCTGATAGCAACTGCAGGAAAAGGAAAGCTCTTGTTTTCACAAGGCCAAGCTATGGTAGCTTTTCCTGAAGGGTCTCTAAGCCTTGGTGGGTTTTCCTCATTTTCCCAGGGAGACTGAGCTGCTCATCCCCAGCAGGAATTGCTCAGGATATGGGAGGGAGCCTGGCTACACCTGCACTCTGCTCATGGGGACACAGCTTGTCCCAGACCACCCCTGCTTTCCTTGGTCAAGGAGCACTGTGCTGAGTTCAGGACCCCAAGAGGGGGATAAACTCATCAGTGTTGCAGATAAACTCAACAGTGCTGGGGATAAACTCATCACGTTGAGGATAAATTCATCAAGTTGATGAATTCACCAAGGAGAGAGGGCAGGAACTGAAAACCAGAGCAAGCAGAGGCAGCTCTTCTGCTGGGGAACACTAATGGAGCAACTTGCCTAATGAATCTGCAATTAAAATATGGATGAGGCAAAAAATGAGAAGTCAGAAATGGGACTGTGAGACTCATTAGGAAAGAGGCAGGAGCTGCCAGGTAAAGCAGCAAAATGAAACCAAGGGAGGCAGGTGGGGAAGGATATGTTTTATAGATGGGTGAGCCATGATAATTAAAATAGGTGTGGAGTGAACACTTTGGTTCTGCTGCTCCTTCCCCACTGGATCCAGCCCTGAGTCTTCCAGAAGGAGCTGAGGGGGGAGTTGTGAGGTCACAGTGGTGCTGTGTCTGTGGCAGGTCAGTCATCTCTGTCCCCTCCCCACATTTTTCAGCACCAGAAAATTCCAGATCACCCTTGGGAGATGCAGCAGTGACCAGGCTCAGATGTGGGGCACGGGAGCAGCTGAGGTATCCAAAAATTCCCTTTTATCCTGAAAGCATCATTGGTATCAAAAAAGGCACGAGGTGTCCCAGCAGCATCCTCTGCTGCCTCGGCAGCACAAGGTGTCACCCACAGGCTCAGGGCCTCTTCTGCCAGGAGCCACCATGATGGAGGGGCCAGTCTGCCTGGGCCTAAGGTCACCTTCCTCATGTACATCCTCCTCCTCCTCCTGTCCCCGTGGGGCAGGGCCCTCTGTCAGCTCTCCAGGCTCTCATCCTGCTCCCCAAGCAGAGCATCCCTCTCCTCAAGGGCTCCAGGCCGTCCTTCCCGATACGCCAGGAACTGGAAGGAGATCTGGGGAGAGGTCAAGGCTCTGCACACTCACACACTCACAGGGAGGATCTCAGGGATGCTCTGGCTGTCACCACCCCCAGTTTGTGTCAGGGGAGGTGGGAACAGGACAAGGAGCTCAATGCAGACCAGGGCTGAGGCGTTTCCCAGCCCATGAAACACCACAAATCCCGCAGGGAGCAGCACCAGCCCTGCCCAGCCCTGCCTGCTCCATCCCCTGCCAGGTCCTGCTGGCAGGATGGGATCCCAGCCCAGGGCAAAGGATACAACCACGTCGAGGGCCAGCACACCCAGGCTGCCCACGAGCCAGGGCAGGTGGTGCAGGATGTAGTCACCTTGGCCCTGGCCTGGCTCCGGGTTCTTCAGGAGGACACTGATGCCATACAGGGAGTTCCCCAGCATCACCAGGGCAAAGAGAGAGTAGGAGACCCCACTGGTGGATTTCCTCTTGTACTGGGAAAAGAGGGAGAGCAGAGGAGCTTGGGTGCAGCTCTCCTAAATCTCTCTACAACAATTAATCATCCTCTCCTCCAGCATTAAAAAAAGAGAAGTGGTGACTCAATGCTGAGAGTCTTTTAGTTCCCCTTTGGCTTGTAAGACAAAATGAAAGCCCCACCCTCAAAGTGTTGGTAGGTTACAGGGAGTGGGAGAAAATAAATAGAGAGAAAGAGTCTGTGATCAGAGATGGGGCCTGGAGCCAGGGAGCAGAAAGGAAAACCCCCGGGGAGAAAGGAGACTCCCCAGCCCCTTGGAGTGAGGAGCCCCCGGGGTCCCAGGCTGGGCACTCACGTTGGTGCAGATCTGGGGCACTCGGGAGCACAGGTAGAGCACGGAGGAGATGGAGCCGATGGTAAATCCAATGATCTCAGTCCTGGAGAAAGGCTGCAAGGCAGGGGCGGGGACACAGACAGGGACAGGGACAGCCCCTGTGCTCAGAGCTCCAGCACGGCCACAGCCAGCCCCGCGTACGCCCAGCTCCCCTCCTCACTGCCCGCTGCTAATCACAACTGATAATTAGATTTCACTTTGCCACAGTCAAATACCCAATGTAATCTGCTATAATGGCAATTGGGTTTGTTTGCACTGCTCTGAGAGGTCCTTTTCTATTGCCAGAGCAAAACTATTTTGCAAACCTAACTTTCAGTTTCAGCCAACTCAGTTACCTTGCTGCACTTTATTGCTTGATTTTCCATAATATATAAATGTGGATAACTGGAAAAAGAATTAAAGGGGAGAAGTCTTTCAAATTTCCTGAAAACAGGAACCACATTTTTTTGCAGACTGTCCATTCTATGCAGCTACCTGAGATAAAGTCTGTTTGCAAGCAGATGTGGGAAATGTGAGGTTTGCTGACTCTTGAGCAGGCCCATAGAAGTACTTGAAGTTTGAAGTGAAAATGCCCTGAAATGTCTGAAATCCTGCAGCAAACTGCTCCTGAATTTTGGAGGAATCTTCGGAAAAGTTCTCTTTCCAGTGTCACCTTCCTAGACTGTAACAGTCTCCTGGAGAACAATTTGACCCTAAAACAGGAACAACCCCTAACTCCAAAACACGTGGTGGGGTCCAGGGTGGTTTTTTTGGGATGACAGCATCCAGCAGGACATCCCCAAGCAGAGCTCTATCCCACCTCCCAGGTTTAGGAACTGGCTCACCTTTGATCCAAGCTCATCCCCTGGAGCTGACAGCAGAGATCTCCCTCTGAAGGTCACTGGATCCTCGGTGCTGGCACTGCCCAGGAGGGGGAGGCTGGACAGGGAGCCCACGGAGAGGAACACAAAGGCTGCATTGATGGGAGCAGGGACTGCAGGGAGTCACAGAGAGCCTGGTTAGGGAGAACCCAGGAACCCCCAACAGCCCCAGGGGTGCCAGGACTCTGTCAGGGTGAAGAAACCTCCAAACTGTCCCTTATCTCACCAAGGGATGGGGCAGTGGCTGCTCTGGGTGATTGATGTGATTTATCTCCCAGTGATGTGCCCAGTTTGTACCTTATCAGGGAGGAAACTGCTCCTATCTCGGTTTCTTTAGGGTTAGGGCTCTTAAAAATCATCCCCACTAGAAGATTTCACTGCCTTAAGTCACTCTCAAATGCCTGCCACAGCAAGCCTTGCTGTCGCTTATTCGTTAGAAGTAATTTATTATTTTCCAGTAATTTTTAGTGATGATGATTCAGTAAATAAGCTCTCCAGCTTAACAAAACTATATCTGATGGGTCAAATACCAGTTGGCTAATAACTTCTCATGTCTTTACTAACTTAAATAATTATCCCAGTCCCAAGGAGCCTGCTTGGGATTCAGCAGTGCTGGCAAGGGGATTTTCTCTGTTTTCTCTGACTGTTTAAACCCTGCAAGAACTGCTCAGGTTCCCTTTTCAGTCCAGTTGAACAGACAGGAACTTCCCTGTGAAGGCCAAACAGTTGGAAAACTTCCCCCTTTCCCTCCCAGCTCTGCCTGAGTCAGGAGCTCTGTGGTTCCCAGCTCTGAGGCAGAGTCACCACGGAACTGTGGGGGATTTATTTATTTCTGTTCCCAGTGAGGCTCACAGGGGGGTTGTTTTCAGCCTGGACACCGTGGTGGGGAGGTTGCAGGAGCCCCAGGCTCAGCCTGTAGGTGTTTGTTAGCTTTGCTCTTCTAGGGGCTCAAATTATTCAAGGGAAAAAACAAAAAACAAACCCAGCAAGCAATAGAGGCATGTAATAACTGTGCCTGGAGTGTCCCCGGGCTCCCTGGAATCCCCCCCTCTGTGTTCCCGGTGCCCAGGAGAGCAGAGGCCCCACCCCTGCCCCAACTCACAGGCTCTGCCCCCGTTCTTCACCCGGTAGTAGCAGTAGAGGGAGAGCATCCCCAGGTCTGCCAGCACGTAGTAAATGGCCGTGTACACCTGTGGGGAGGGGACGTGCTGGGAACACACCCGCGGGGACCTGGGTGGGCTGGGATGGTCCCACAGGGATGCTCCCTGCTCTCCCGGTGTCCCTGGGGAGAGGGGAGTGTCCCGGGGAGGAAAAGGGAACAGCCTCAGAAGGAGAGAAAGGAGTAACTCAGGGGGTGAAGAAGGGAGCATCCCTGGGAGAGAAGGGAAAACACCAAGAAGGGAAAAAGGGAGCAAACCCAGGAGGTTTGGAGGGGAGCATTTCTGGGGGGCAAAGAGGGAGCATCCCGGGCAATTTGGGTCTCTAGCTCCCAGTGCTGGATAAAGCAGCTCCCAGCCCCTCCCTCCTCCCTGGAGCTGGGCTGTTTGAGAGCCAGCCCGGCCTCGGTACCTGCAGGGGCAGCTGATCAGCCAGGAAGGAACCGATGAGGTTGAGGAGGTCTCCGCCCAGCCATCCCAGCAGGAAATAGATGGAGAGAGCCTGGTCCATGATGCCCGTTCTGCAGGCCTGGTAAAACTGCCTGCAGAGCATTGGGCAGAGGCACAAACATCACCCACAGCTGGTTCAGCGCTACCTGGAGCCATCCCCAGGATTCCTGTGGATCCCAAAGCAGTCCCGGGAGGATAAGCAAGGCCACACGCTGCCCTGGCCCCAGGTGGAACTCCTGAGCCCCAGCGGTGCTCGCCGAGTGCCCTGTGGGAGGAGCAGGGAAGATGATCCCGGCTGCAGGATCCTCCCCTGTGGTTTCGAAAGAACCGTGACCCCTCACGTGCCCCTCTGCCACCCTTGTGTCAGCACTTCCAAGCACCCCCGGGCTCCCCGGGACAGGATGACCTGTCCTGCCGGCCCTGCACGTGCCTGACGTGGGACATTCCTGCTGCCAGGCACAGCAACAACCCCGTGGCCACCGCCGAGCCTCCGGGGCTGCGCTGCCTGCTCCCCTCACCCGAAATCTGCCGAGCCCTCGCTGCTTTTGCCGCGGGGATTTCATAATTCTGGCACCCCGGTTTCTGCCATCCCCCGGGAAGGGCTGCCCGGGATGTGGGGGTGATACACTGAGATTTGGGAGCGGTGCCCAGGGACTTGGGAGAGGCACTCTGGGATTTGGAGGCGATACTCCAACATTTGGGAGCGGTGCCCAGGGACTTGGGAGAGGCACTCTGGGATTTGGGAGCAGTGCCCGGGGATTTGGGAGCGGTACTATGGGATATGGGGGCGATACCCAGGAATTTGGGAGCGGTACTCACGGGAAGGCTGCAGCGATGAAGCAGCCGATGGAGCCCAGCCCCAGGACGATGCTGGCGACATCCCGGCTGTCCTGGGCACACTCATTGAACACATCCATGATCCACCGGGACCCATTGGGACAATCAGAGAGGTTCCCAAAGGGGAGACCCCTCCAGCGCAGCGCAGCCATGGAACCGCTGGGAAAAAGGAAATAACACATGGGAAATGTAATAACCCTGGAGAACGACAGATCCGAGCAAGGGACAGGGCTGGGGCTCCGCCGGGTGCTGGCTCATGGTGGAAAAATGCATCATTAGTGGATAATACACCTTTATTGGCCTCGGTTCTGCTGCCAGCCCGGCAGGATTTGGCCTCAAAGGAGAAACAGAAATGAAAAAAGAAAAAAAGAAGAAGCAAGAAGGCAAAAAAAAGAGAAAAGAAGAGGAAAAAAATGAAAGAAAAAAGGAAATGGGAGGGGAAAAGGAAAAAAAGGAACAAAAAGAAAAAGAGAAGAAAAGAAGGAGAAGGAAAAAAAGCAGGGGCTAAAATAAATAAATAAATAAAAGAAATCCAACCCAACCTGTCCTCGCAGCACCGACGCGGCTCGGAACTTTATTTTTCCTTGAAAACTCGCTCTTTTGAAACTTGGGCTGTTTTTCTTCGCAAATCCACAACCCCTCAGACACTCGCCGGGTTTCCTTCGCCGCAGTCCCAAATCCTGCCCAGTTTCCTTTGCTGTTCTCGCAAACCCTCCCGGGTTTCCTTTGCCGCTGTCCCAGTCCCGCCGCTCCTCTGCCGCTTTCTCAGGAAGTTGCCGGAAACCGGCAATTTTTCACGGACCCGCAGCGTGAAATCTTTTTCACAAAGTCGCTGTTTTTCCACGCACTCCCCGCGGTTCCCGGTACCGCCTTTCCCAAAGTTGCCGCTTCCCCCCGGCTCGGGGCGCTCGGCTCGGCCCCGCCGTGTGAGGGGCCGTGAGGGGCGGGGCCGTGCCTGAGGGGCGGGGCCATGAGGGGCGGGGCGGGGCCGCGCAGGCGCGATGGCGGCGCGGGCAGCGATGGCGGCGGTGGCGGGCGGCGGGGCTCGGCGCGATGGAGATGGGCCGGCGAGCCGGGCCCGAGGCGAGTGCCGAGCTGCTCCGAGCCTTCCTGCGCCGCCGGTACCGCCTCCTCGATACCGCCTTCATGTACGCGGGCGGCGAGTCGGAGCGCATCCTGGGCACGCTGCTGGCCGGCGGCACCGAGCCCGGTACGGCGGAGGACGGGTTGCCCTCGCGGGAGAGGGGCTGCCTCGGGGCCCGTGTGGGAGGAGAGGGCGCTGCCCTGAGGAGAAGGGTCCCCTCTGCCAGGCTGACATTGTCCTTGAGGAAGAGGGACTTGGCCAGGACTCGTTCTGTAAAGAGAGGGGTCTTTGCTGAGGAGAAGGGATTTCCCTGGGGAGAGGGGACTTGCTGGGAACCGTGCCTTGAGGAGAAGAGTCTTCTCTGAGGAGAAGGTCTCATCTCTTCTGCCAGGCTGACATTGTCCTTGAGGAGAAGAGGCTTGGCCAGGACTCGTTGCCTGAAGAGCAAGGTCTTCCCTGATAGGCAAATGCCCTCCCTGAGACTTCCCTAAGGAGATAGGAAGAAGAAGGGCCTTCCCTGCCAGTCTGAGGCTGTCTCCAAGGACAAGGGTCTTCCTCAGGGTCCATTCCCTGAGGAGAGGGATCTTCCCTGCCCGGCTGACTTCCTCTTGAGGAAAACGGACTTGCCCCGGGCCCATCCCCTGAGAACAAGAGTTTTCCCTGCCATGCCTGAGGGGAAGGGACCCCCGTACAAGTGCTGGCCCCCAGACCTTGAGGAGCAGACAGACCTTCCCTGTCTGGGGCAGAGCCTCCCCTGCCAGGCTGGCTGGATTCCTGAGGAGAGGCACCTTCCCTGAAACACCTCAAACACTTGGGTCATGTCCCTTATCCCCACTCCCCTCCTCATCCTTGCTCATTCCTCCTCTCTCTGCCAGTGGAAGTGGCCACCAAGGCAAACCCGTGGGATGGGAAGACGCTGAAGCCGGAGAGCGTGCGCTCCCAACTGGACACGTCCCTGGAGAGGCTGCAGAGGACGAGTGTGGAGCTCTTCTACCTCCACGCTCCTGACCACGGGACCCCGGTGGAGGAGACCCTGCGTGCCTGCAATGAGCTGCACAAAGAGGTAAAAGTGCAGAGTCCAAGCCTGGACAATCCTTGATTCCCTTCTTCCCACTGCTTTTTTTTAAACCAGGGCTGTTGCTTGTGCCCATCTGCAGCGCTGTGTTTGTGCAGCTCTGGGAAGAGGAAACAGAGCCCAGGGCAGAGCTGAGCAGCTGCTGCTCTTTGTGTGCTCGTGTGGTGCACTTTGTTCCCAAGAGCTCTCAGAACATCTGAACTTTGCTTCCAGCCCTGTTAACAGTCTGAGTTAAAATCAGTGCTGATAATGAGTAAAGAATTCCTAAGTTTTGTTTATCTGGTTATACCAATTAAACTAGAAGGTGTGAATTCCAAATGAACAGAAAATGGAGAATATTTTTGTCGTGTCTTACTAATTCATAGTCTGTCTGAAAAGGTGGACAAGAATTAACCCTTCTGGATGAAAATTTGATGACTATTCTTTTCACTGTACCCATTTTGTGCTGTCAGGGTCCAGATGAACTTTGAAACACTGGAACTGATTTCCCATTTACTCCTCTGCAGGGGAAGTTTAAAGAGCTTGGCCTGTCAAATTACGCTGCGTGGGAGGTGGCAGAAATCTGCACCATCTGCAAGTACAACAACTGGGTGATGCCAACTGTGTACCAGGTGAGGGAGGGGGGGAGCTTGGATTTGGGCTCCCCAAATGTAGGACCAGCCCCAGTGTGCCAGATATAAACACAGAAGGAAGCTGCTGCACTTAGTCTGGGAAGTCACAAAGTCACTGAGGTTGGAAAAGACCTCCAGGCCCAGCTGTACCCAATGCCCACCTTGTCACCTAGCCCACATCCAGGCCTTCCTTGGACACCTACAAGGATGGGGACTCCAACACCTCCCTGGGCAGCCCCTGCCAAGGCCTGACCACCCTTTCAGTGAGGAAATTCAGGAAGCTGGGTGAGGTTGCTGCTCAGAAACAGCTCAGTGTGTTCATTGCTGCAGTCAGTGACTACCCTGGCATAGAACTTAAATGATTTGCAGTCCTTCAGTGAGTCTGTTCCTAAGCAAATCATAACCTTGTGTGATCTGAACCCTCTCTCTTGGATGGGTATTGGCAGGGCAGGGTGGGAAGGGATGGCTGCTGTGCCCTGAGCTGTGTTTGAGGCTGTCTCCCACCCCGTGCAGGGAATGTACAACGCCACCACTCGCCAGGTGGAGACCGAGCTCTTCCCCTGCCTGAGGCACTTCGGGCTGCGCTTCTATGCCTACAACCCACTGGCAGGTACAGGGGCCAAGGCCAGGCTTTGGGACAGAACTCTCTGGAATGGGGGCTCTGCAGAGCCAGCCCATCCCCAAACCTGCTGCTGCCTTCCATCCCAGGGGGGCTGCTGACCGGCAAGTACAAGTACGAGGACAAAGACACACGCCAGCCCAGTGGGAGATTTTTTGGGAATGACTGGGCTCAGGCCTACAGGGACAGGTATGTCCTGAGCTGACAGATGAGCAGAAATGGCTGCATTAAAAAAAAAACCACTCTTAAGAGTGTTTAGTTCTAATAGCTGAGAGGAAGCAGAATTGACCAAAGCTTGGGATTATGTCAGCACACATGGTTGGGGGGTGTGGTGTGTGACTGAATTCTACAGGGTGGTTTTTAGGTTCAGCTTCCTCACAGCTCCCAAGGGAGATTGCAGAAGTCCTCAGAGGCTACAAAGAGTTGTATGAGGCTTTGTGAAAGCCTTTGGATGGAATATAGGTGTACCACTGATGAGAGGTCCCAAGGGCAGTGATTGTTTTTTTTTGGCAGGTACTGGAAAAAACACAATTTTGAGGGAATTGCACTGGTAGAAAAAGCTCTGAAAGAGGCTTATGGCTCCACTGCACCCAGCCTGGCGTCTGCTGCACTGCGCTGGCTCTACAACCACTCCAAACTGCAGGTGAGAGCTTGACCTGGGCACTGCTGCCATGGCTCACAAACAGAAATTTCAGTGTAGGTGTCCTTTAATCCTGTAGGATTGTGGTGTTTCAAAGTGAGTATTGCTTTACAGGCTCTGCCAGGCAGCAGGAGTGAGGCAGGTCTGCCTTTCCCCATGGTATCCCATATGGTCAGAACTGGAAGCCTCAAATGGAAGATTTTAGGTGCCAGTTACTGGGGTCTTGGCTTCCCATGCACTCAGCTTCCCTGCAAGAGAGGACTCACCTTTTGCTGGGCTCAGAAACTGCTGCTTAATATTCCTGATGTCCCCTAAATATTCCTGTAGCCCATCATAAAGTAGGATTTGGCAGCTTATGAGGATTTGGAGCGACTTGGGGAGTCAGCAGAATTTGTGGTGTCAATTGCTTAATTCCTGGATGTTCTTTAGTGGGAAAAAACACAGTGGCTTGAGAGGTGAACTTTCTTTTTTGGGATCAGCAACACCTCCCATCTCTTCCCAGGGTTCTCTTGGAGATGCAGTGATCATTGGGATGTCCAACTTGGAGCAGCTGGAGCAGAACCTTAACTACAGCGAGGAGGGTCCCCTGCTGCCGGCCGTGGTGCAGGCGTTTGACGAGGCCTGGAACCTGAGTGCACACGACTGCCCCAACTACTTCCGCTAGGGAGGGCTGGGACAGCCGGCACAGCTCTGCAGAGGTACTGCCCACCCTGCCCTCCCATCCACGGCTGGAGGGCTGCAGGTTTTTCCTGAATCAGTGAAGCTTTGTAGGATCCACACCTGTGCCTTTGTCATCCCTCCTGGCCCCTCAGCTCCCCCAGCACACCCTGTGATTCAGGATGCAGCTGATCAGGAAAATCAACACGTTAACGAGGTGAAGGCCCTGTTGTGCTTTAATGTGAAATTTTAAATAATTACATACAAGAATAAAACTTCTTTCTAGTGCAGACCCCGTGTCTGACCTGTGCCTGGAATCTGGCAGCTCTTTGGCAGCACTTGGGGACTTGGAATCACAGAATTTCAGGATGGGTTGGATGGTCCTTAAATCTCTTCTTGTTCCACCCCCTGCTATGGGCAGGGACACCTTCCACTATCCCAGGGTGCTCCAAGCCCCATCCAGCCTGGCCATGGACACTGCCAAGGAAAAGGCAAAATTCCAAGGATTGAGCTAAATATCTTCTTCTGTGTCAGAATAACAAACCCTCAGCATCTTTCCCTTTGTTCTATATCAAAGTTTTCCATTACATTTACACCCTTTCTGCCCAGTTTTCATGTTTGAGCTGGCATTTCCTCAGATCCCAGGATACACCAACAGTAACAGGCAGCAGCAACAACCATCTGAAGTTTCACGTAGATATTTATATAAATATAAAAAAAGCATAGTTAGGTCATTGTATATGAAGATCGTCCCAGTCCAGGTGCACCCAGGGAAGGGAAATGTTCTCCTCTTTTTGTCCCTAAAATTAGTTTGTCTGGTGTCCAAGCTGTTAGTCCTCATTGCTGCCATCGTCATCATCCTCCTCCTCTTCCTCCTCCTCTCCTGTGTCTTCTACGAGCTTCTGGAAGTCTCCCGTCTCAGAATTCCACAGGAACTTCATGGTGACTTTAAACTCTGCCATCTCGTAGCCAAAGAGTTTCTAGGAGAGGACACAAATCCATTCGTGCTTTACTGTCTCAAAACAGTGAGTTCTGCTTCCAGGTGGGAAGTGGAGCAAAGCAGGAACTAAAATAATTGCTGCTGAGTTTTGTGAGTTGTGTTAATTCATTATTAGCCATTTTGTGTCACGAAGCAGAGCTGTTGTGTTACTCACCAGCACACGGGCCTGTTCTGGGGTGAGAACATCTCCTTCCTTGCACACTTCGTAATCCGAAAGCAGTGTCACCACTCCTGCAGAACAAAACCCCTGGGAATAGGATCCCAGGCACTGGGAACTCCCCTGGAATGTGGGGGACAGAGCCAGGACTCCCTCCAACCCACCCACTGGAGCTGACACCTTCCCATGCAGTATCAGTGCACCCCAAGGACAGGGGTGACATCTGCTCTCAAACCCCACACCTGGTTCCTGAGTGGGTTAATCTGAGCTGTTTCCACTGGAAAAGGATGGCACTGTGGAGAAATGTGGAGGTTTCACTCAGCCTTTGACATGAGGTTGGGAACAACAGCACAAGGACATAAGGAGTTCTAGCCCCAGCTCAACAAGAAGAAAGTTGTCCCTAAGGTTTTCTCCAGACCTAAAGCCTGCTGTATATTTCACACCGTCCATAAGAGATCCCAGCTGCACAGACAGACCCTGGGGCTGCCCCCCCTCCCTGCTGTACCTTTCTTCAGCGCCGTGGGCAGCCCCAGCTGCCGCAGCTGTGGCTCCATGGAGTGGGGGAACTGCTCCAGGGGCCCCGTGTCCAGGCTCACCCCGTACGGTGCCTTGTTCCCAGCACGGGCAAAGTCCAGCTCCCGGAACTTGGAGAACCACCTGGGACACAGATGGGCAACAAGAGCTTCAGCTGGGGGAGGAACATCCCTGGGCTGAGACAGGGACTGGGGCACAGCCTGCCCTAGGACCTGGTGTTTCTTAGAGAGGTTGTGGCTACCCCTGGATCCCTGGAAGTGTCCAAGGGGGTCGAATGAGATGAGCTTTAAGGTCCCTCCCAACCCAAACCCTTCCATGATTCTGCCCTGCTGTTGCAGGAATGGCTGTGAGCAGAAAAAGCCCATGAGACCATCCCTGCTTTGAGGGAAGCAGCAAGGAGTGTTGGGGTTTTGTGGCAACAAAAAGGCTGTGCCAGTACTTACTCATCCACCTCGTCCCTGGTGCGGTTGGTGAAGAGGAGCCCGACCTCCCCTCTCAGGTGTTTGCTTACCTGGAAGAAAGGAGCATCTATGGGGATTGGGGAGCACCAGGGACTCACCAGGGCTCAGCCCTGCACAGATTCACTCACAACAGACCCTTTATGGCAGGGCATGGATGGATTCAGTTAAAACACCCACAGAATGGTGACCTCAGCATGTCATTCCAGGATGGGGAATACACCAGGTGAAGCTTTAGGACACCCAGAGGAGCCCCCAGCAGGTACCTTGTGCAGGTTCTCCTTGTACTCGCTGCTCGGCTCCCGGCCCAGCGCCACCATCATCACCTTGTTCTTCCCGAAGAAGATCCTGCCCAGGAGCAGGAGGATGTCAGCCCTGGAGCTCATCCTCTTCGGCATCTCCCACCCTGCACCACCCCCGTGCCCACCTGCTGTGCTTCCAGGCGTTCCGCACATCCTTCAGCTTGTTGTTCCTCATGTTGGCCACGGAGAAAACGAAGATGTACTTGTAGGTGTCCACACAGCGCCGCAGCTGCGGGGGAGACGTTACCAGGACCAGGACGGGCACGGGGGGTGGGAGGAACGGGAAAGAGAGGGAGAGGGGACAGGGGCCCGGGCCCGGGCCACACTCACCTCGGTGATCAGAGCCTGCTTGGCCTCCAGCCCCTTGCGGGGCGTCCGCGTTAGGGACACTGCGGGGAGCGGAGCGGAGAGAGCGTCAGGGAGGGATGGGGATGGCAATAAGACATGGGCAAGGACTCGAGCGGATAGGGAAGGGAATAGGGATCGGCACGGGACAGGTAAGAGGACGGGGAGAGAGAAGAGGGCGATCGATGCATGGGGTCGAGAAATGAGAAAGCGATGAAGGGGACACGAATAGGGAAGGGGTGGGGAGAGGGAAGGGGGCGATGGGGGATGGGATCGAGGAATGGGAAAACAACGGAGTAGGCGACAGGAATAGGGGTGTGAAGAGGAATGTGCCCGGGCGCGGGGTCCCGCTCCCACCTTTGCGATCCCGCTTGGACTTAGGCATGGTTCCGCCGTGCTCCGAGGCCCCCGGGCCGCGCGCGGGCTGCCGGGAGCGGGCGGGGCTGCCCCGTGCGCTGCCTGCGCGCTCCCCGCGGGGCTGACTCCCTTTCCCCGCGCAGGCGGCGGTACGGGCGGCCTCGCCCCGCAGAAGGCCCCCCGGGCGCCGGGGCCGCTGTCATGGCGGCGGGGTCGCGGTCGCTGCTGACGGTCTTGGTCCTGCTGCCCTTGGCCGCCGCCGTCTACGAGGACCAAGTGGGCAAGTTCGACTGGTGAGCGCCGGGGGTCTCGCCGTGGGTCCCGCCGGGTTGGGTTTCTGCTCCCGCGGACAGGCCTCGCGCCCGCCGCGCCGCTCCCGCCCCGCTCCCATTTCACCGGCGCTCCCGTTCCCTCTGGCAGGAGGCAGCAGTATGTGGGGAAGCTCAAGTTCGCCTCCTTGGAGGCCTCGCAGGGCTCGAAGAAGCTCGTCGTGGCCACCGAGGAGAATGTTGTGGCCGCCCTCAACTCCCGGAGCGGCGAAATCCGTGAGTGCGGCCGCTTTGGGGCCGGGGGTCAATGCGGTTGTCCTGGTTGTTCCTCCGGGAATGTGAACGCTGCTCTTGGGCCGCGGCGGGCCGGACGGCTCGGCCGCCTGGTCTGAGCCCTGTTTTAGGGCTGGCTCTGTGAGCAGCCCAGGTTTAAAGACAGTACCGCAGAAACGCCTTTGTGGGGACAAATGCCATTCTCCCTTGGGCCTGTCTCTTGCAGTGTGGCGCCATGTGGACAAGGGCACCCCGGAAGGAGCCATCGATGCGATGCTGATCCATGGGCAGGGTAGGTGCCAAGGCTCCTGGAATGTGTAGCCAGCCTTAGAGCACAGGCTGGACCTGCAGAGCCCATCCCTTAGTTGGGTACAAGCTCTGTGTTCATCCCCCTCCACTCCAGATGCCATCACCGTGTCCAATGCTGGACGAATTCTGCGTTCCTGGGAGACCAACATCGGGGGCTTGAACTGGGAGACCTCCCTGGACACTGGCAGGTGGGATTTGCTGTCTGCATGGATTTCTTCTCCTTGTAGTAGTGGTCTGGGAAGGAAAAAAATGGATCTTGGACTCAGTCTGGGCTTGCATTGTAGAGAAAGATTAGTCAGATGTAACGTTTCCAAACCAAATTTCGGATTAATTTTTTATGAATGCCTGAACCTTGCAGAGAATCTCCGAATCACTGAGGTTGGAAAAACCCTCCAAGATTATCGAGTCCAACCTTGACCAGTCCCCACCTTGTCCCCAGCCCAGAGCACTGAGTGCCATGTCCAGCCCTCCAGGGATGGGGACTCCAAACCTCTCTAGGCAGCTCCTTCCAATGCCTGACAGCCCTCTCTGTGAAGAAATTCCTCCTGATGTCCAACATGAGCCTCCTCTGGCCCAGCCTGAGGGTATTTCCTTTCCTCCTGTCCCTGTTCCCTGGGAGCAGAGCCCAACTCCCCGGCTGTCCCCTCCTGTCAGGGAGTTGTGCAGAGCCAGAAGTTCCCCCTGAGCCTCCTTTTCTCCAAGCTGAGCCCCTTTCCCAGCTCCCTCAGCTACTCCTGGTGCTCCAGCCTCTTCCTCAGGGTAAAATAGGAAAATAATTCCCTAATTCCTCATTCCTCTTCTCAGTTTCCAGGGGGCTGCCCTGGTGGGGCTCCCCGAGGCAGTGAAGTACGTGGCAGTGCTGAAGAAAGCAGCCCTGTCTCTGCACTACTTGTCCAACGGGCACCAGAAGTGGGTGGAACACCTGCCAGAAAGGTGAGAACACCTCTGAGGAGATCTGTGAGCCCCTGGCACAGAGCAGAGGGGAGGGGGCTGCATCTGTGCTTCTGCAAACAGCAGTGTGAGAGGATGATGATGCTTCATGGTTGCTGCCTGTCTTGCAGTGAGAGCACTCAGTACCAGCTGCTGTATTCCCGTGGCACTGGAGTGATCCACGTGGTTGGCATCGTTCCCCAGAGCCACCTGAATGTCTTGACCTTCAACGTAGAAGATGGAGAAATCACAAAACAGGTAGTGCAGCCAAAATGCTGGATTTGATGTGAACAAAAATGCTTCCAACCCTGTGGTGTGGTGGGCAGAGGAATCAATTGTGCTACAGAGAGCCCTCCCTTTCCCTGAGGCATTGCCTCCACACCAGGGATTTCATGGGTGAATGCCCTGAGAGCCAAACTGAACAGACTGGCAGCCGTTGTTGCAGTTAATATGTTGAGATGGACACAGCTGGCATCACCAGCAGCCCTTTAATTGGCATCACCAGGAACCCTTTAACTGGCATCACCAGCAGCCCTTTAATTGGCATCACCAGGAACCCTTTAACTGGCATCACCAGCAGCCCTTTAGTAACAAGCTACATGCCTTCTTCTCTTAACAAACTTCTTCCCTCATAACTTTTACTCTTTCTTTCATAGATCTCTCTCTCAGGTAACTCTGACTTCTTTTCTTATAGGCAGTTTCACACAGCACTGATTCCTTGTCTTACAGGCAGTTCCACACAGCTTTGACTCCTTTCACTCTTCATGACTGGCTAACCCCAAGCTGTCCCTTTCCCAGACCCCTAGCCCTGACTGTCCCTTACTCAACATGTCACCATATCTGCCCCTTGCATGACCTGTCCCTTACCTCCCAACTTTCCACAGTTAGTCCAGATTATCCCATAGCCCTGAGGCTGACAGGCAGTTTTTCTCAGTTGTGGCTGAAAAGAATTGATTGAACTTGCTGCTGAGTGCTGTGGAGGCTGTGTCCCCTGAGCCCTGGCTGTGTCTGTGCAGGTGAGGGTGGCAGCCCCGTGGCTGGGGGCCCTGCAGGGCTCCTGTGGCGTGGTGGGCGAGGCTGTGCTGGTGTGTGTGGACACGGCCGCGCGCTCGCTGCACGTCTGCGCCCTGGACACGGAGCAGGACATGAGGCACATCCCTCTGCAGGTGAGAACTGCTGCAGCAGCATCCCTTCATTCCTTACCCAACTGGTCTGGTTCCAGTTTGAACTGGTTCCCCAGTCTGTTGGTGAACTGGGGAGTGATTGGAGGTGGAGGGTCATGATCTGTACATTCAGGGAGGGGTGGGAAAGCTTTTTGTCTGTTATTCCTTCTGGATCGATGTCTTCTGCTCTAGTGGAGCTTCCCTGCTCCTGCTGTGTCCCCTGGCTCAGAGAACCTCTGACTGTTGCTGAGGGAAGGGAGGTGTTGGTCTCAGTCAAGGACCAACTCTCAGCACTTGTTCTTGTCTTCCCTGCCAGTCCCTGGAGCTGGAGTTTGCAGATGACTTCCAGGCCAGGATCTTGGCCACTCAGCCCAGTGTGACCAGTGCCTCAAGGACTCAGTTCTTCCTGCAGCTGTCCCCCAGCCACTTCTCCCTGCTGCAGTACAAGCAAGGGCTGCTCAGCCACCTCCGAGACTTCCAGCAGGTACCAGGGACAGGGCCAAGTGCAGCTGAACATCCTTCAACCAGCTGGGCCAGCTGGCAGGGTTTAAAAACTTCAGTAACTCTGGGCATCTTGGCTCAAAAACCTGTGGCAGGTCAACTGTTCCAATTTTTATGAGAGGGTCTCTTTAGTTTTTGAGTGCAGGGGAAACAATACAATTTTAAAATTTGGCTGTGACAGTTCATCTGCTTTTAATTCCACTGTGGTTTTATTTACTTCACAAGTAATTTTTGGCGAGGTTTAGGGGTTTCTTGAGGGATTTTAAAATTTATTGCTGTTTTTTTTCCTTTTCCAGGCAGCTCTGGTGAGTTTTGCAACGACTGGAGAGAAGACGGTGGCTGCTGTCCTGACATGCAGGAGTGAACTGGTCAGCACAATTCCTGTTCTTTGGGAGCAGCCCAGCTCTGGGGATGTGTGCTGGGGGTGGGTCCCACTGCTGTTTCACAGGCCCAGGGATGGGGAGCCCCTTGAGGAAGAGGAGGATTTGATAAGTTGCAGTTTCAAGTCTAGCTCAGGCTGTGCCTGGCTCAGTGAATATCCTATTTCAGTCCTGTGCAAGGTGGGCATGTGGCAAGGAAATGGCTTTCCTGATCCACAGAGGATTTCAATTCTTGGGGATATCAAACATAGTTTCATTTTTATCACAAACAGAATAGAATAGAACAGAGCTGCCTGATGTCACAGGCAAGCTGAGACTTGTCATGCAGTTGAAAACCTAATTTTTCATGCTTTACTGGTGTCTGAAGCCATGTTACATCTCCTCTCATGCTCATTTCAGAAACCTGGCAGCTCTGATGGCCTCCATGCTGGCAGCACACTGGAGGATGCCCGGAGGCAGGTACGGGGTGCTCTTGTTCCCAAGTTCTTGTCAGTCCATTTTATTCCTTCCCCTACAGAGCACAGTGACAGGGATCTTACACCAGCTGTACCACCTGAAAACACAGCCTAAAAATATCTTGAAGCCCCAGTTTTTGCTGGACATGGCATTCTGCTGCAGGATTTGGTGTGGTGTGTGTGTAAGCTCTGTTTTCTGCCCATTGCTACAGGATTCCTTAACCTGCTCCAATCAAACCTACAACATAAACCTCTACCTGGTTGAAACTGGGCAAAGATTGTTGGACACCACAATCACCTTTAACCTGGAACAAGGAGGGGCCAAGCCACAGCAGGTGAGCAGGGAGGGGTCATTTCCATCCTTGCAGTGCCCTCCCTTCCCTGGTTTGGCAGGATGGGAGCCCTTGAGCCAAGGGGAAGAGCATTCCAGGGATTACAGCATCACCCTGCTTGCTCTAGTTTCACCTGAATTTCTGCTTTTTTCAAGGAGATGATGTCATCATTAATCTCATTGTTTTCCTTGCTCTTTTTTGTTCTGTTCTGTTCTTTTCCCAGCTGTACATCCAAGTTTTCTTGAAGAAGGATGACTCAGTGGGCTATCGAGCCTTGGTGCAGACAGAGGACCACATGCTCATGTTCCTCCAGCAGCCAGGTGACTCCCCAAAACAGCTTCCTCCATTTGTAACAGTCACCAGGAGAAAATTCTGTGTCCTCAGGGATTGTATTTTGTCATTACTTTCATTGGAAACTGAAAAAATGAATTTAACTCTTCTG